AGAACGACTTCATCATCAATTCGATTTAAGATAATAGATGATGAGTAAGTATATCTCAAACTATATGTTTTTGAAGTTTAACTAGCTAATTATTAACTACATTCTTTGTCAAAATATAGTGAGTTTATGCTAGAGTGTGTTGCACACGGTGAGTTGGCAACTGAAATAAGAGATAAGTGTAGAGAATATGAATGTCTCTTTGCTATATGTGTGTTAACCGATTGGTGTGTAGCAATTGACGGGGGTATGTTCTCTGCTGATACATCAATATGTTATTTATAAAATCGTTGTATATAACATAACAATATTCCAATATATATGTTTTAGAGAATGTGTCTATCAAGGATCATGATGATGATGGTGTGTCCCGTTTTATCACTGATTCACCTATTGATGAAGTTTTAACCTTGCGCAATAGGTAAGTATGTTTCTATGTGTTGTTTAAATTGACTTATGAAAAAAAAAATATTTTCATAAATTTAGATCTACATGATTTTGTTATTGAAATTTCAGGATTAGAGAGAGATTATATGGGCTGGATACAGATGTCTAATGGATTGGACCGACTAAAAGGATTCAAAATCGATAATCCACATATATATTATTAGTTTTGTACTAGACACTTTTGTATTTACAAGGCTGTTTTGCGATTATTGATAAATAATAATTTATTCTAATTTGGGTTTAAATTACTCCTTATAGATATAATATACATTGTTTTGGGAAATTTACTACTGGAGTATGATTATGTGCTATCGTGAGTTGATTATTTATGAAGGATTGTCATTGGATAAAAATAACATTGTTCTAATAAATTGGATTATAAACGATATTAAATATTTTTAATAATGTTCTGTCAAAAAATAGCGCGTGTTGGATTATTAAAAAGCATGTCAATAACATATATAACTGATTTGATTCTAAATCTGTTTGATGTAAACGGTTTATTATGTTACACTTAAATTATATATCATCTGAGCCCAATATTTTTATATATCTTATGGGTCAAAAAATTTCGTGTTGTAACAAAAATTCGACTATTCCTTTAACAGATAAACAGTGTTCACCAATAATCTATCTAGAATATTCATCATAAGTTGCAATTTTTCAAAAATGGAGAATTTTTAATTTAAAAAATACGTAAAATGCACTGATTCACGTGACACTTTCCATAACCGTTATTTGGGTGTTATATATATATATATCCTCATTTCCTCATATCCATTGTTAAAAATAAACAACAAAGCAATTCTTCTCCCCAACTGTTTCTTTGGCTTTATAAAAACATTATCCACATGACTACATATAACTTTGTTGATGAGTTACATGCATGGAGACGAGATTGGAAAATCCGTGTCAAAGTTTTGAAAAGATGGAATAAACCTGATCGTCAAGGCTTACCAGGGCTGGATTTCATTTTAGTCGACGAAAATGTAAGTGTTATCTAATATGAATATATAACTGTTTTGTCTATATTTATTGTTTGTTTGATCTCTTTGCAAATTTCATTGTATATAGGGTTGTAGAATTAATGCTTCATGTGCTAACCTTGCCTTTCCATATTTTAACCGTGTTGGGACCGAAGGACGATGGCTTGAATCGTCTAAATTCGGCTTGATACCATCTGAATGGAAGAATGAGGGAAGAACAACGAGACACAATTATCAGATCATTCTCACTACTGGGACAGAAGTCTCAAGTCTACGACCATTGACAATGGATCCCTTCATGAAATTTGTCCTTTTTAGTGAGATATACAGAATTCCTTATGCTCAGTTATATCCTGTTGGTAAGATTAACTTCTAATATTCGTTTCAGTGATTTCATATATAAATTTGTACATATATAGGAAAAAAAATGAATTTCGTTTATGATAAATATTTCTCTCATAATTGATTTGTAGATCTCATTGGAGTGATGGAAAATGTTAGCGACATTGAAACAGAGAATAACCATGATGGAGATATTATTCAGAAAATAACTTTCACCATCACAGATCTCGAGTAAGTTTCTATTTTCTCTCACGATCACTATGTCTTGGTAACAAAGTTTGTAACTTAAATTGTTCAAATCAAAGGGATGTGAAGTTGAAATGCATCGTATACGGGGACTTTGCCGCTGATATCAAAGAAAGAACCAAAAGATTCACTGGTCCTTTTACGGTTTCTGTCTTAACCGATTGGAGTGTAAATAAAAAAGAAGGTATGGATAATCAAGCATATGTCATTATTATTTTCATTTTGTGCAATATATGTTTTATATTTATTTTGCATGTATATTTCCTAATAATAATTTTATACGTGTAGATGAAATAACTATCCATTCACATGAAGCAATTGGTTTTTCCCATCTTCTCCTTGATCCCACTACGGATGATGCCCTGATTTTTAAGAGAAAGTAAGTAATCTGAAATTATAATCGGAGAGTTTTGTATATACAATAATCTTATAGTATGTATATGTCTCTTAAACCTCTAGAATTTGAGAGAGGTGGAGCACATTTTAGACACAAGACGGAAATATAACTTATAATAAATACTTAATAGAGTAGTGTTTTATTAATTTCTTTTTGTAAGTATTTATATAACTTAAAACTTGTGTGTTGGATCTTATTACATGATTTATTTTAGTATTTGTATGATTTATTTCTTTGTATAAGTATTTATATAACTTAAAACTTGTGTGTTGGATCTTATTATACAATATTTTAGTCTCAATTATTGAAAATAAAAATGTGATGTTTATGTTACAAGAATTTCAATAATCAAATTATAATAAGATTTATATGATGATTGTGTCTGCGCGACGCGAGCAAATACCTAGTACATTCTAAATTCAGAAATTTTTTAAATATTTTGCAATTTTTCCATTCAAATAAACATAAAACGAGTTCTACTTGTCAAATTAGCAGCAACACATATGTTTGAAAACTAAAGAATCTTTTGAGAAAACAGAAAATAACATAAACATCTTCATACCAGATCAAACACAAGCCTAAAATTTTAGAAATTAAAATTTAAACAAATTATTTTCGGTCTGAATTGGCATACTCTTCAAAAGTATTGCAAGTCTACTTGCTTCTTAATGGCATTCAATCATCTTCATACATCATCAAATGTCTTAAACTTGATTAAATGAAAAAGTTTGTCAAACAACAAATATAAAAACATTTCATACATTCAAAATTTGTAAAAAAATATTTAAAACATGATCTTTGAAGGTTTAAGATTCAGGAAGATCTTTTTAAGCTATAACAAATCCTTTCTGAATTGAAAATTAGTAAGGATTCTTAATGTTTTAGAAAAGACTTCCTAAAATCATCCTAAGAAACTTCTTAGGGAAAGACTTGTCCACATTTGTACATGTACTAGGGATTTACCCGCGCTATAGCGCGGAGATATATTTTTAATCTTTAATTAATTTAAATAATTTTATGAAAACAGTTATTTTGTAAAAACAGTTATTGTTATAAAGTTCACAAAATATTTTTGTGAATTTTAAATAATGAGTTAATCTGTATATATATATATATATATATATATATTTTTGAATTATAAAAAATGAGTTAATCCGTATATGAAGTTATTTTATAAGCGTGTAAAGCAAAATAAGTTGTTTTAAACCCGTTGGCACTAAACTAAAATATTATTTAGGCTAATATATAAAAATTATAATATTATAATCATCAACTCTAATTTGCATCGTTTAATAATTGACATTTATAATCTGTTCACAAACTATAAAAATTTAATTTTATCTTTTTAACTATATATGAAAATAATATAATATTCTTTATACTTAGGTTTGATATATAATAAATAAATATATAACAAATTATATTTAATTTTAAAATATATATAATTTAGTACATTGAATATATTACCTATTTTAAAAAATTAATATTTTGAATTTTGAGATTTTTTTTTGGGTATTAAAAAATTAAAATTATAATCTGTTCATATCGAACTAACCCGTTTACTGAACATGTTTGTATTAGATTAAATTTAATAATTAATTTTAATATTTACCGTTCAATAACTCTCATATCACCACAAATTTTTTTATTTAAAAATTAATTTTTCATATCAATTTTTTAGTAAAATAACTAAAAAAGTATTTTTGTATATAATCAATCAAATGTAGCAAATTATTGAAATAAAAATACTTCACCACTTTTTTTGATTTCATAACTTTTAATTTTGACTTTTATAATATTTCTAAATTCAAAAATTTATTTTCACGTTTTTTAATTAAATATATTTTATAATATCATTTGAAAATAAAAATAATAAAAACTATTATATTTTTGAATTTAGAAATTAAATAATAAATATACTCTATTAAATGAGAAATAAAGACTTTCATATTTTTAGCAGTAGAGTTGAAAGACAACTATATCCTTTCCTATTTTAATTATTCTTTGTTATTTGTAATGGCATATCATGTAATATTTTACAAAATAAAAGTTATATTTAAAATGTCTACTCAAATAATAATATAGAGATATTTTCGCAGAAAACTTATAACTTGAGCAGAAAAGATTTCAAAACCCTCAATTTTTTTTTTCAAAACCCAAAACTTGAAATTGGTTATTCTTCAAATTAAATTTTGAATTCTCACACTAATATTTTACCCAAACGAAAATTGATTATCAATCTGAAGAACTTATCCTAACTGATGTGTGATACTTGTTCTTTTACTCTCAGAGCGTATTATCTTTTACTCTCTGAAAAACATAGAATTAGGTTTTCTCTGAAGTTTAGAGGAAGAAATAGAATTTATGGTTTGCTTTCTGAATTTAATGAAGAAAATGCTAAATTTGTCAGATTGAAAAAGAATAGTTTTTTTTTAGAAGATTTAGTTTTTTTAAGGTTATTTTAAAAAAAAAATATCCTAAATAAATAAACAACGAATTTTGCCCATTTTACCAATTTTTTTCATAAAATAAAATAAAGTTTATTAAGTGAAATAAACATTAACAAACTTCGGCTCCCATAGGCCAGGGAAAACAAAGCGACCGTTTTTACTCATCACTTTCTTTAATTATCGCCGCCTGCAAAATTGATCGGTTAAATATTTCCCGACGTTTCTAGAAGGTTCGGAAGTCATGCTCTGCCTCTCGAAGCGCACCGTCTCTTCTCTTCTCCGATCCAGTTCCCACCTCCGCGGCGATGCTACGGCGGCCGTCTCCTGTTCTTCTCCCTTCTCCGACTCGGTATTTACTCACACCCGAAATTTCGAAATTTCTACTTCCTAATTGATGATAAACAATCGCTTCACTTGTTTTGGAATGTATTTTCTTCATATAAAGCTTGATTAGGTTTGGGTTTTTCTTTTTCTTTTCCTCCTCAATCGAAACTGTTTATGGATTGGGCGTATTTTCGTAGAGATTTGAGTTTTGGTTTATACAGCTTCTTCTGTGTTGATCTTTGGATCCTTTTCTGATTAAGCGAAGATATGGTGTTTATACAGGTCGGTGGGAACAAGAACTTGTATTCTCGAGCAGGAAATGCTATCTTGTGGAGAAGTACTAGTCTTCAGGGAAGCTTTGTTGAACGAGAGCAAGTCTCGTTTTCGTTTTTGCGATTTTTCAGCGATGGCGGTGGTGATACTTCCCCTCATTTGGATCGGGATTTTTTGGCTCAGCTATGGGTTTCTGATATGAAAAAGCTAAAGGCCATGGAAAAGCGAAACCGGAAAGCTCATAAGCATAGAAATTATCATGAGAATGCATTTGGTGAGCAATCTTCTTTAGCACAGTCTGATGAAAAACATTATGATCAAGCTAAGCCTACACCGCAGCAACCACCGGTTAGCCAGTCTATGTCTGGTCTTCTGAAGCCTACAAGTTCTGATGAGGTGACTCATTATCTTTGCTTTGTCTACTATAGTAAAAAAATACTTTCTTTGTATCTCTGGCTTGAGATAAAGTTCTTGTATGTATGAAGTGTGTCTGTGACTTAATTTATTCGCTTGTTAGTGCAAAAGCGTGTTTGTTGGGTGCCACTTAATCTCTGTGCATTACTGGTTTGAAACTGAACAACAAAAAGTTGTTCTGTCACTTGTATACATGGAACCAAGTATGGGCTTTCTGACCAGTTTCTCTCAGTGTTAATTGGATATATATATTGTTGGTTTTTTTTTTCCTTAGAAGGTAGGAATTTAGCTCATTGTACTCTTCTTCTTCCTGATTTTCTGGAAATGTAGGAGTTGGAAATTATAAAATTGTTTTTTTTCTTCTTAGGCCAAAATTGCAACTCTACTTGCTCGGTCTAATTTGCTGGTTACAAGGGACATTGAATGGGCAAATCTGGTTCTTGGTTTTGAACAGGTATTTTTTTCTGTCAGTTCTTCTGTTCTTCATTTGACTGTAATACAGCTGCTTGTTTCTGATGAATTAACTTTGTAATGCATGTAAGTCTTACATTGTTTCATCTCCTTTGTCCCACGTGTAGTCGTGTAGCTGTTTTGCCACTCGTGTAACCTGCTCTTCTCTTTTTTTTTTTTTGAACCTGCTCTTCTTTCTGCAGGAAAATCGCTATGCTGTAGTTGATGTTTGCTACCCTGAGGCGGTAAGTGATATCTCAACGCATAGATTCCGGGCTTTTTAGTGTGGAGGGCACCACTGATACCTGAGACTTTAGTTCATATCAACTCTTATGTATTTTAAACCCCTCTTTTCTCTCTTTGTTCATAGCCTGTGGGGTCTATCCGGGAGCAAAGCCATGTAATTGCGCGGCAGGTCACATTCTTACTCTGAGCTTTAGTTATTTAATTTTCTGTGTTCATACCTCAATTAGTATCATTATGTGTCAATACTGTAAACTGGCTAATATCAACGAGCAGTGTAAGTTTTGACATGTTAGTTTCATTTCATTGCCTTGGCTAAGTGATTGTGAATATCCTCGGTTAGCATGTTCGTACTCTGTTTCCTTCTATGAGCATATGAATGGTCAGGTCAAGTTTGTTTTGAAATTTTTTTGAATAAATTGATTTTTTAGGCTTAAATCTGACTGTCTAGGCTTAACTTTGTTGACTGTCGAGGCTTGACCTTTTTTGTAATGCCTTAGATTCTTCAGCAAAATTATTTTAATTTGTTGCTTGAACATTCTTCTCTCAAGAAGGTTTTCAGTGAGAATTTTGTTTCTCATTGATAATCCGGTTGCCAGCTGTCAACTTTTTCCTCAACTACATGTGCTATATTGTGTTCTTATCTAGTCTTTAGTTTCCTATTTTTATGTTTGGAGGAAGTTCTCAGAAATTGCGACTTCAATCAATTCTTAAGCCTGTTAATCAGAAAACTGTAACATCACCCATTAAAAGTTTGCATCACCTCGAAGCAGTAAGACGAAACCTGTGTGTATACTTTTGTAGCTCAGAGAAGTTGTATCTTGTCAATTACATATCATGATAGTAGTAACTTTGTGTCTACCAAAATTAGAGAAAACAACTCCATATGATTTTAAATATTTCTGCAGCTGCTTCGTACCAGGCGGCCTTTTGTTGCTTCCATAACTGATCCTTTGGGTAATGAGCTTTTCCGGGTAAGGTCTCTTGGATTCTACTGTGTGAGCATTTTGCAGCAAAGATAAGTCTTCGATTTGTTTGAGCTAAAGTAATTCATCTGCATCATTTAGGTTCGTAGACCTTTCTGGTGGATCACAAGTTCAATATATGCTGAGATTGATGGAAAGGTACACTTGTGTATCACTTAAAGCTCTGTAAAAAACAGTAATTTAACGTTAGATGTTCAGTTTCGGCTCATTTGCGTGTGTCTGCTACTGGTGTAGGAAATTGGTGTAGTTCACCGCCGATGGCATCTATGGAGAAGAATTTATGATTTATACCTGGGGTAACAAATTCAATACAAATTTCTTCTCATGTGTGTATATTTCTAAGCTTTCTTTTCATTGGCTTTTTCAAAAACTTGATTGACCTATCGGATATCCCTTTAGAAAAAGACCTTGTATCTTATATGTGTTAAGAATGATACAGACTTACAGAGCAAGGCTTTGGTGTTCAAGGAATCAATACGTGTTGCTCTTAGTTAAACTGATACATCCTGGGACGGATAAAGTAATGTGACATTTGCTGTTTGTAGGAACGACCAATTTGCAGTGGTGGAAAATCCTGGGTTTTGGAATTGGACATTTACAATTAAGGGTGCTGATGGTGAAGTGTTAGCCCAAATAGATCGTGACTGGAGAGGTTTTGGCTTTGAGGTTTGTGTTCTTTAACTCCTGCACTCCCACGGTTGCAAACTAAAGATCAGCCAAATGAAGAATCTCTTAGAAGAAATTTTAAAACATATAGGCTTATTGTGATGACCAAATAAGTTTTGAAAATCTTGAAATGTTTTCAATCTAATCCATGTAGACTAGAAGACACATTGGAGATCAAAAGTCTAAATGGCTTCTTATATTATGTGATACAGATATTAACAGATGCTGGACAATATGCGATCCGATTTGGAAAATCTGATGATGCATCCAAAACCGGCCCTGCTACAGCGGTGGGTTTTACTCGTGAGGCTGTATTTTGGTTGTTTAATTTGAAGTAGAGATTAGATTAAGCTCTTCTTATGCAAACTCATGACAGATAGAAGAGTTGGAAGTGAAACGGCCACTGACTTTGTCGGAAAGAGCTGTTGCCGTTGCACTCGCTATCTCACTAGATAATGATTACTTTTCAAGACATGGTGGCTGGTAAGTAGAAGCTTTTTTTTTTGGCTTATTTAATCTCTTAATAGCTACAACAATGATACAACAAGTTTTATCTGAAATTATGATGTTAACTGTTGTTGGCAGGGGAATCCCTTTCATGGCGGTGGGCGAGTAGGTAGATGTCAGTCTTTCACAATCTCTTTTTTCCGAAAATTTGAGCGTTGTGTTGTGTTTCTAGAATCTCTCGTTTCAACTCTTATGAACTCCAGCGTAAATGTAACTTCGAATAATCTGAATATAACTCGGTTTCTCATATAATGATGATTACTTGGAAGGGTATGTATAATATACATGTCTCTGGATAAAGAACCATCACCAGAAGTCATTGCAAGAACATAATCCGTCTCTGAAGTGATGGAATCTACTGTTATCTCTCACAATGATATCCCTTTGATAGATACGAGACAGGAACTTAGTTACAGAATGACAATCGTTACATACCGTAAGATTTTTGACAACCCTTATTGGACTCTTGTCGTTGTTGTTGTTGATTAAACCGTAAGCAATAGCTAATCTCTCACTATGCAACTCCAATTCAGCTTCTTTCTCTTTCTCATCTTCAATCCGTAACAGAACCTGTCTAGTATCTGCTACGTGTCCTGCTGCTTTCAGCTTCTCTCTCATCTCCTTTAACTTTGCATATATCTCCTCTGATTGTGGATGTGATCTGTCTCCAACAATAAACCTGTGAATCACACCTTTTCTCTCTATCAAACTCCATCCAGCTTCCTTCTTGATCCCTTTCTTCTTCATCGTCTCTCTCACTTCCGAAACTTTCTCCCATTTTCCTGCAGCTGCGTACATATTCGACAGAGCAACATAACACTCCGGAGCCAATTCTTTTAACCGATGAGCTGCGTATTCACCAATCTCTGTATCTACAAACATCCTTGCTCCTCGTAATAGGCTCATCAAGATTACTTTGTTTGGTCGTATTTTCATTTCCTCGATAACAGTTTTCGCCTCTTGAAGACGGCCCGTTCTACATAACACGTCGACTAAGCAACCGTAATGCTCGATTTCACGCTCGATTCCATACTTTTTCACCATAAAATCAAAGTAGAGATGTGCTTCCTTCACATATCCAACGTGACTAAAAGCGTTCAACAACCCAACAAATGTCACTGTGTTTGGCTTGATACCACTCTCTTGCATCTTCTTGAACAGTTCCAATGCTTCATCAGCCATCCCATGCATCCCTAACCCGACAATAACCGAGTTCCAATGACCTAGCTTCTTTCTATGTATTGATGTGAATACCGTTAAAGCACTCTCGATGCTTCCACACTTGGAGTACATTTCAATCAGTAAAGTTCCAATCACACCGTCGATTGCCATCCCGTTCTTGACCATATACGAATGAACCCATTTCCCGGTACTAAGAATCGCAGATGCAGCCACAGCAGAGATTAGACTCGTGAAGGTTGCATTGTTAGGCTTGATGAAATCGTCTTCTTCCTCTTGTAACATTCTGAGAAACATACTCAAAGCTTCTTCAAACCGACCGTATACCTCGTATCCTGCAATAATCGAGTTCCATGTGATCAAATTTCTCTCAGGCATGGTGTTAAACAGTTCACAAGCAGATTCAAAATCTCCTGATCGCATGTACCCGTTAATCATCGCGTTCCACGAAACCAAGTTCTTTGTTGGCATCTTGTCAAACACATCTCTAGCTGCCTCGATTTTACCCGATTTCGAAAACCCGTGAAGCAACGCAGTCCAAGAATACGAATCTCTGCGGGGAATTTCATCGAACAACTTTCTCGCGGTTTCAACATCGCCGCTACGAGCATACCCATCGATCAAAGAATTCCAAGTCACCAAATCTTTCTCACCCATTTTATCAAACACCTTGCGTGCACAATCAAGCAAGCCACATTTCGAGTAAAAGCTCACCAAACTGCTCTGAACAAACTTATCAAACCCGAAACCGAGCTTCGTCGAAAACCCATGAATCTGCTTCCCTTCTTCAACAGCACACAAACGAGAACAGCCCTTTACGACGCAGGGCAATGTGAAGTTATCCGGCGGGAATTCGGTAAGCATGTCGCAGAAGAGACGGATTGCGTCGTGCGAGCGGTGGTTTTCGACATAGCATTTGATCATCATGTTCCATAAGGGAAGAGAAGGGCTTTGGATTGTGTCGAAAACGGAGCGAGCGTAGATTAGGTCGTTGATTGGTTGGGATGTGTAGAGTGAGACAAGGCGGGAAGAGACGGGAGAGAGATTGAAAGTTCCGGTTTTGAGAGATAAAGAGTGAAGCTGCTTAGCTTCTTTTATGGATTCCGAGGAGATGAAGATTGTTAACTGACGGTGGACGACGGAGGAAGGCGGCGCCACCGCTGCTGGATTCTGCATTTTGAAGCTTCAAATCCAGTTTGGAGATGGGAACCGGACTGGAATATCTGGACTTATTGATTGAGCCACAGCATTAATTTTAAAATTATATTTTATTTTATTGAATGATATGCAATAATTATAAATCATAATCAATATTCATAAAAGAAATTTGGGTAGTTTTTTAAAAGTACAATTTGTGGAAATTGAATTTTATAAAGAGGAAATTTATAAAACTTTATATTCTCAAAGTTGTATGTATTTTGAAAGATAAATGTTTGAAAACTAATTATGATTTGTTATAAACTATATCATATAAATATGAGGTAAAATATACTTTATAAGATTAATTCATTTAATATGATAGATTAATCAAAAATTAAGTATATATTAGTGAATAATTTGAAGATAACAAGTAAAAAAAATGGGCGATTTTAGGGTAACAGACGATCCTAGGGCGACAGAGGATTTCAATGACATGATGATGGACTATACGGAGAAAGAAAGATCGCCGGATGACACGGTCTCATGGGCAGCAAAGATTACGGGGATGAAGGTAGTGGGGAGAATGGCACCGGAGGATATGATCGATGAGAAGTTTGTCAAGGCGAGATTGAGGGTGGAATTTCCGAATGATGAGGATGGAGAGCCGGAAATAATAGTTGGGGAGGAAGTGTTGGAGGCGATGAATGGACTATGGAAGAACTGCATGATTGTGAAAGTGTTGGGGAGAAGTGTCCCTATCGCAATTCTGACGAGGAAACTTCGAGAGTTGTGGAAGCCGAGAGGAACGATGTATGTGGTTGATTTGCCGCGCCAATTCTTCATGGTGAGATTTGGGGAAGAGGAGTATTTAGCGGCTTTAACCAGGGGTCCATGGAGAGCTTTTGGTGGATATCTCATAGTTCAGGCGTGGTCACCAGAGTTCGATCCTACAAGGGATGCAATTGTCACAACTCCAGTTTGGGTTCGTTTGTCGAACTTACCGGTTAATCTTTATCACAAGTCTATATTGATGGGTATAGCGAAGGGATTGGGAAAGTCGGTGAGAGTGGATGTTATGACGTTAAATCTTGAGAGAGCAAGATTCGCTCGGGTTTGTGTGGAAGTAGATTTGAGAAAACCCCTTAAAGGATCGGTCAAAATAAACAATGAGAGATACTACGTTGCGTATGAAGGAATGACGAACATCTGCTCGAATTGTGGAATCTACGGACATTTGGTGCATAGGTGTCCATCATTAGAAGTTCCGCAGCAGAAATCCCCAGTTATGGAGAAAGCCATTGTGGAGACACGGAAGGAGGGGACGGAAGAAGAAGGATTTATCACAGTTAGGAGGCCAAATCGGCGATCAAAGGAGCAGGCTAATCCGGTGGTGTTTGTAGCCGGAGAGTCAACCGGAGATGTTGGACGTAATCTCCAAGTGATACCGAGTAAATCGGAGCAAGAAAATATTCGGGTATCAAATAGATTTGGAAATCTTGAGGTAGAGATGATTGAAGCGGGAAAAGGGGAAGTTGCCTTGGTTGCGGATGAGGATAAGGAAAATCATTTAGTGAGAAATCCCAATGAGAATGGTAAGTTTTTGAATGGAAAATCTAGCAAATATGCCGAAGGATCTGGGAAGCAATTTACTATCGGCAGGAAAGGAAATTTGAAAGGGAAGAGGGCTGGACCTGTTAATTTGTCAACATCGAATGGGCCGAGAACCAGATCACAATTAAACAGGCCCACCAGAGTATTTGTCTTTGGACCGAGGCAGGAAGAGGTCGAGAGATCAAGCTCTGGAAAACGATTAAGGGTGGAAGGTGTTAGCGTGGAACGTAAGGAAGGTAGTCTCGAGAAACAGAGGGACGGTGCAATGGGAGATACGAGTATTACTGAGGGTATTGAGGTGGTTACAACTCAGGTAACACCAGTTATGGCCAAGGCTGAACAAGAGAAAGGAAAGGGAGTGCAGAATGAGCAAACAACTTCATCGAATGCGATGGAGTTGAGTGTTGCATAATGTGTTGCCTCGGTAGTTCATCTACGAATACATCTGTTTTTGATGATGAATATAATATTATGGAATTGTCGGGGGGAAAATAAACCCAATTTTAGAAGAGCGATTTGGTATATGTTAAAGAAAAACAATACGGATATTCTCGCCTTGCTTGAGACACATGCTGGTGGAGATAGAGCAGGAAGGATTTGTCGGGAACTTGGCTTTGAGAACTCGTTCCGAGTGGATGCAGTTGGGCAAAGCGGAGGATTGTGGCTATTGTGGAGAGATAGTGTGGGAGTTGTTACCATTATCGAGTCCTCGAATCAGTTCATACACGCTACAGTTGGAGAAGGGATGGAGAGAATGCATTTAGTAGTGGTATATGCAGCACCTAGTGTGAGCCGAAGGAGTGGACTGTGGGAGAAGTTGAGTGATATGATATAAGGAATTCCAGAGCCGCTTATAGTTGGTGGTGATTTCAATACTATAATCAGGCTAGACGAAAGAACCGGGGGTAATGGAAGATTATCGCAAGACTCGTTGGCTTTTGGTGCATGGGTTAATGATTCTTTGCTGATTGATATGGGATTTAAGGGCCCAAAATTCACATGGAAGAGAGGAAGGTCAGCGGATACATACATTGCAAAACGTTTAGACAGAGTTTTTTTATAATGCGATTGCGAGAGTAAGATGGCAAGAAGCCGTGGTCACACACTTGCCATCGCTTGCTTCGGATCACAACCCTCTGTTTTTACAATTGGAACCACAGCCAAATGGAAACCCGAGAATACGTCCTTTCCGTTTCGAGGCTGCGTGGTTGAAGCATGAGGGGTTCAAGGAGATGGTGAAGAATTCTTGGAACACGGAGGTGCCAACGCAGATGGCTCTAAACGGTTTGAAGGATAAGCTGTGAGTTTGGAATCGTGAGATATTTGGGGATGTTAATAAGCGGAAGGAGAAGCTTCTAGGGGAAATAAAAAGCATACAGGTTTTGTTGGATTTATATCAAACTGATGACTTGTCAAAGAAGGAAGAGGAGCTCTTAAAAGAACTTGATGTGGTTATGGAACAAGAGGAGGTGATTTGGTTCCAGAAGTCACGAGAAAAGTATATAGCTTTGGGGGATCGCAATACAAGTTATTTTCACACATCTACTATTATTCGAAGGCGTCGAAATCGAATAGAGCTGCTACAAGATGATGAAGGTAGATGGTGTTCGGATCAGAAGGAGCTTGAAACTCTTGCAGTCGGGTATAATAAAAAGCTCTACTCCATGACCGATGTGGAGATGGAGGTGGAGAAGCTACCGCATGGGGGTTTTGTTCAGTTGACCCGAGAGGAGAAGTTGAGTTTGGCTAAGGATTTCTCCACGGTTGAGGTGGAAAGAGCAGTCTGAAGCATGGGGAAATTTAAAGCTTCGGGACCAGATGGGTTTCAACCAGTGTTCTATCAACAATGTTGGGATGTTGTCGGAGGGTCTGTGAGTCGATGTGTCATGGATTTCTTTGGTACAGGGCAGTTGCCAGAAGGGTTAAATGATGCGTTGGTGGTTTTAATTCCGAAGATTGGGAAACCAGAGAAGATGACGCAGTTTACGCCAATTAGTCTTTGTAACGTCTTATTCAAGACTATTACAAAGGCGATGGTCTTACGGTTGAAGGGGCTGATGACTCGTTTGATTGGTCCAGCTCAGTCTAGTTTCATACCGGGTCATTTGAGTGTGGATAATATTGTGGTAGTTCAAGAAGCGGTGCACTCCATGAGGCGAAAAAAGGGTCGAAAAGGGTGGATGTTACTTAAATTGGATCTTGAAAAAGCATATGATCGGATAAGATGGGATTTCCTGGAGGATACATTGAGGGCTGCAGGGCTTTCGGAAAAGTGGGTTAATTGGATCATGCAATGTGTTAGAGGGCCATCAATGCATATATTGTGGAACGGAGAACAAACAGAGGCTTTTAAACCAGAGCGGGGTTTGAGGCAAGGCGATCCGTTGTCACCGTATTTATGTGTGCTCTGTTTGGAGAGATTGTGCCATCTCATAGAGCATTCTATTGCTATTGGGGAGTGGAAACCGATACGGTTATCTCGTGGGGGTCCAGAGTTATCTCACATTTGCTTCGCGGATGATTTAATCTTGTTTGCAGAGGCATCAGTTGGAAAAGTTCAGGTGATTAGACGAATCTTGGAGAAGTTTTGTGCTGCATCCGGGCAAAAAGTTAGTTTGGAGAAGTCAAAGATTTTCTTCTCGTCTAATGTTAGCCGGGATATGGAAAGACGGATTAGTGAAGCGAGTAGTATAGCATCAACAAGATATTTGGGAAAGTATCTAGGGATGCCGGTCTTACAAAAAAGAATAAACAAAGATACATTCGGTGATATTCTTGAGAAGGCGTCGGCTAGATTGGCTGGATGGAAGGGCCATTGTTTGAGCATGGCGGGGAGGTTGACTTTGACGAAAGCGGTTCTTTCTTCGATGCCGGTTCATGCTATGAGTTCTATCTTATTACCGAAGGGAACTTTAGCCAAGCTTGATCAAATATCACGCTCTTTCTTATGGGGAAGTAGTACAGGCCAACGAAAACAACAGTTGCTTAAATGGGAGAAAGTTTGTAGACCAAAGGTAGAAGGCGGTTTGGGTATTCGGTCGGCAGTAGAAATGAATAAGGCTTTGTTGGCGAAGTTGGGTTGGCGGCTGCTTCATGAGTCTGATAGCTTATGGGCTAGAGTGATCAAGAGCAAATACAAGGTTAATGGTGTTCATGATCAGTCTTGGTTGGCGAAGCGTTTGTGTTGGTATACGAGGGTGTTAATGCCAGGTATTGGTAGGGTAATTGGTGATGGGAGGATGATCTGATTTTGGAAAGATACATGGCTAATTGACAAGCCGTTAGCGGAGGTGGTAACGAGTGGTTTACAACCTAATGTGATGGAGATGAAAGCTTGCGAGTACTGGCGAAACGGATGCGGGTGGCTGTTCCAGTTCATTGACCTGTATTTGAGTCTAAGATCAGTGGTGATTGATACCATTACCGGAGCTACAGACCGTTTATCTTGGAAAGAGACAGATAATGGGACTTTTACCGTGGGTTCGGCGTATGCTGCATTATCACGGGATGTTACACCAAGACAAAATATGGCTCATTTGTTTACAAGGGTATGGAAGGTGGTTGTACCGGAACGTGTTCGGGTCTTTATTTGGCTAGGAGTACATCAAATTCTTATGACGAACATGGAGACAAGAAGAAAGCATCTATGTGAGTCGGGGATTTGTCAAGTATGTAAAGGAGGAGAAGAGACGATCATACATATCCTTAAAGATTGTCCAGCCATGTCGGGTATATGGATACGTCTAGTGGACCAGCGACATAGAAGAGAGTTTTTCTCGAAATATTTGATTGAATGGCTTTACATGAATCTTGGTGATCATCGTGTGGTAGGGGACTCGACATGGTCTACGTTGTTCGCAATGTCGATTTGGAGGATATGGAAATGGAGGTGTGGGAATGTTTTTGGAGTAAATGGGAGATGTAGAGATCGGGTGCAGTTTCTTAAAGATGTCGCAAAGGATGTTTCACTTGCTCATTATCGAGCCCGTGATGGTAACGTGGTGCATACGGGAAGATTGGAAATGAGGGTTAAGTGGATGAAGCGGAGAGAGACATGGTGGAAATTGAATACGGATGGAGCTTCTCGAGGTAACCCGGGACTAGCAACAGCGGGTGGGGTACTTAGAGATGATGAAGGAAGATGGTTTAGAGGGTTTGCGCTAAATATTGGTATTTGTTCGGCACCATTAGCAGAGTTATAGGGTGTATACTACGGTTTATATATTGCTTGGGAAAACCGTGTTACGAGATTGGAGATTGAGGTTGATTGAGAGATAGTGGTTAGATTTCTTTAGACAGGGATAAGCGAGCAGCATCCGCTGTCATTCCTGGTACGATTGTGCCATGGCTTTTTTTCACGGGACTGGATAGTCCGAATTACTCATGTGTATAGGGAAGCTAACCGTCTTGCCGATGCGTTAGCTAACTATGCGTTTTTATTGCCTTTAGGTTTTGTTTCTTATGATTCTGTACCGGACATTGTTCGTTCCGTTTTTCTAGAGGATACTATGGGAACTTCACATCAGGTTCCGGTGTAATTTTTCTTATTTAATTAAATAAAAAGGGGGACATTGTCCCCTCACTTGACCAAAAAAAAAAAAAATTTGAAATTAGATTTTTAAGAAAGTAAAAAAATTTTGATCCAAAATATCTTATCTTTATTTACTGCCATTAATATGGTTAAAACCAATGATACTGTTCATAAATTTCCTCATAACACTGTTAAAAACAAACCAGTCAAGACTATTCATCATCTAAAAATTAATACCTGATATTTGATAATATGATAACAATAATATGTAATTTATGTTAACATGTTAACAATGTGTATTGTTACATATTAACAATGATATATTATATTTGTGAACAACTTATCTGAAATTTGTTAACATGTTAACAATAATATCTGGATGTTATAACGTATTAACATAGTATATTAACGTGGTGCAATAATATATGATATTTGTTAACATGCTAACAAAAATATCAGATATTTATTAAGATGTTAACAATAATATATAATGTTTGTTGATGTGTTATCCGATACTTGTTAACTTGATAACAATAATAATAAGGAGTATATATTATTCTTACTACATTAACATACTTTGTTAATATATTATAAGTATTACATATTATTGTTAGCATGTTAACAAATATCATATACTTCTATTAACTTGTTAACAAATATATGATAATATTGTTAGCACGCTGACCGGTATCGAATATTATATTCTCTTATGATGAATAGAATTATAGACTTTGGGTAAACAGTGTTAGTATATTGATGAACAGTGTCGGCGATTTATTCATTATCAACACAATTTTCATGTTAATGGTATTATATATAGTTATTTCTCTTTCATACTTACTTAATTTTAAATTATCTTTTAGTATTTATTTAATTTTTTATGTTATTTATTTGTAGCTAATAGTAGGGCTGGAACGGAGCCAGATATCCGGACTTTTCAAGGTATCCGGATCCGGATCCGGATTTGCCGGATAATCAATTTTACTATCCGGATCCGGATCCGAAAACTCCAAATGTCCGAAGACCGGATATCCGGTTTGAATCGAATATTTACGGAATATCTGGTTTCGTTGATTTTTAAAAAAAAATTTCAAATTTTAAAATTATAATGAAATAACATATATAATTAAAATGTACCAACATAGCAAAAATTACAAAAACCAAAAATTAAAAGCATTCAAGTAGCATTCAAATAGCACAAAGTTTAAAAGTTTACATAGCAAAAGAGAAAATAGTAATAGAGAAGTTAATTTATCTTCATATCCATGTGTTATCCATTTTCATGTTCTTCTCTCACAATCTGAAATAGAAAATTATCATGCAATATGAATGTCAATAAATATTATCAAAATAAATAAATATTTAATAAACGGATAATGGATGACGGATATCCGATTTCAAAATTTTTTATTATCCGGATCCCTATCCGAAATAACCGAATACTTAATTTTACTATCCGGATCCGGATCCGAACTCCACGGATATTCGGTTTTTACGAATCGGATAGGAACGGATACCGGATCGGATACTGGATATATATATATATATATATAATTAAAATGAGGTGTAATGATAAAAGACGAGAGAAGATTGGAGAGTGCAGAGAGAAAGATTGATTTCTCTTATTCACTTATCACATCTTTGTAACACCATTTACAAAGAGTGACCCATATAGATAAAGGTGTAAGGCGGTGAGTTTTATGACGGTGAGAATAATATTAAATTATTATAAATGGATAATTATTCATTTTATAACTTTTTTTAATTATTTATTATATAATATTTTCTATAAAAAAATTGATACAATCTTCTTTTCGTCTATCAAACTTTTAGATAAGTAGTCTTTTCTTCGGATTGATGAGTTTTTTTTCAGATAGATGATTCTTGACTTCTACACCATTAGAATTGTAATATTTTCTTTCAGTGTTTGCGTTTTAATGCTTTACTAAAAACTTCGTCATGAAAAACCCCAGTAAAAAAAAAAGCATGGCAAGAAAAAAATGCATCTAAGCACTTCTTATTCTAGAAGTATTGCTCTTAAAATATTTATCTTTTTGCGTTTTCATTTGCTGTCTCATTAAAAAATATTTTTATGAAAGAACCTATTAGGATAAAAACAATGATATAGGAAAAAAAACCCATTGTCACCGAACTTTATATCTTTTGACTTCATTTTTTCATTATTTTAAAACGAACACCTATTTGGTCTCGAATGACATTACATCTTCAGATGCAATGACCATAAGTCCAAAAACATTTTCTTTATTGATTCTTCTGGAACTATTTCATTTTATTCTCTAGTTTTCTTTCTGAGAATTTTAGAGTCCATCGTCCTCCTTTTTTTTAATTGAACATTGAGTTCATTTACTCTGCTCTGATAATTTTTGTTCTTCAAGAACATTAATTTTTTTGGAGTACTTCCAAGTGATATGAACTTCAATTTCATGATATTTTGTAGGGAGGATCAAACATCACTTTCTTTAGAAATGCTTAAATATAAACTTTTCTATATGTTAGATCTTGCTGGGATCTTTCGAGATCAGATATTCAATAAGGATACCTACAAAAACCAACTTTGAGATTTTGTAATAAATTAAAAGATAATCTCAAATCAATGTTACCTTGAATGATATATTTATCGCATTGAGTTCCGAAGAACATATTTTTGATATCATTAATCTTCTAGGGATTAAATCTTTCAGAGATTATTTTCTTCGCAATTCAAGTTGCTCATGTATTGCCATATTTGATATTACCTTTTAATGGTTGGACTACTAGTTCAAAATTTTCTCATTTTTCATATGAACTTATTATAGACTTTATTGCCTATTTTCACTTTTTGGCCAATATTTTCTCTTTCTACACTCCTCGTAGGTAGATTTATAATCTTCAGTTGTGTTAATCATATCGCACGCTATCTTATTATTATTGACAATTATTTTGTCTTTGATTCCACCTTTTTCCCATATTAACATGGTTAATCGAGATCTATTTATCATTACCAATGATATCATTTAGGTATCTGATTTTACTAATTAGCCATATCAATGGTCTCTTCAGGAGATTCATCATCTATTATATATATTTGCTTTTTTTCTTTTTGAGGATTTCTTTGAAACCAAAATAGCCTATCACATTTTTTACGTGACAGACTCTTTATTGATAAATTGTCTTTCAGGGACATATATTCTTATTGGAGCATTTTCAGCTAGAATTAAGATTTTCTCTTATATCAATTGTATGCCTGAAAATTAAATAAATGAATTATGTTTTGAACTTCATGTTTAAAATCATTTATACGAGAATCCATAATTTTTAATGATAATTCATTTCAAGCAATATCATTCCTTAGCTGTTTCATACCAAAACATGAAAACTAAATTTCACCATTGTTGATTTTTCGATCTTCTGTATCTATTTTACAAATTATCTATAAAATCCATTTTAATTGTGAATATAATCTTCAGGATATTCTACTACTTTTGATATTGGATTTTTTAATTCTCCTGTTTGAGATGATGATATTTCAAGTTCATCCATCTCGAAATGAATTTCAGTTTAGGACCAATAACATATCCAATTAACCCATTTTGAGTCTTGAATTATGCATCCAATCCTTTATTGTAATAAATCTTTAAAAATAGAATTGATATTTAAAATATTTACTAACAATTAGTTTAGTCATAATTTAGCTTAAACGTCAAAAGATTTATATTCACAAACATATAGTTAAGGTAAAAAAATTTACAAATCTTCCTAAGTTTTTTTTAGTTTATTTATTTAAAATTTTTATCCTAAAGTAGTGGTAGATACAAATGTATGAGCCTAATTTCCAAAAACAAAAAAAGGTATGAGCCTATGAGTTTATAGTGTTTAAGAAAATAGGTTAAATATGGTAATAGTTTATAGGATTGCATCCCAATTGAGGCGAATTACTCATCAATACAAGATCATGTATAGTTGACAAAAAAACAAAAACAAAAACAAAATATAAGATCGTGTATAGTTCTTTATAAAACAGAGATTGTCTACTAAGCACTAAATTATATTTACTCAACTTTTTTTTTTTTTGAACCTTTATATTTACTCAACTTAGCACCATCTTTAAGCTCTGAAGCCTCCCAACTTGACTCTTTGGGAAGATGAAAACTCTCTTGATAACAATTACTCTACTTTTCATATCAGTAACATTTTCAGGTAAAACATTACTATAACATCCACTCGCATAAACACATTTCTCACACATATATATGTATCTTGTTTCATAAAAAAACAAAAACAGATGCAGAGATCAAACAATGGTGTGTAGCCAATAAAGAGGCACCAGATGATGTGCTACAAGCAGCCTTAGAATCGGCTTGTCAACACGGCGGAGCAGACTGTAGTAAGATTAAGCCTAACAACCCTTGCTTCTTGCCCAACACGATCAAGGACCATGCCTCTTTTGTCTTCAATATTTATTACCAGAATTATAAGCACAAGGGCGGTTTTTGTTACTTCAATAGGGCTGCGATGATCACCGACCGCGACCCTAGTAAGTAACTTTCTCTAAGCTCTTTAATAATCGAGATCTTAAACCATCAATGTCAGATTATCTCATGATTTGGCAGGTCGCGGTTCTTGCCATTATGAGTATATCCCCTGATTTAAAGGAAAGGGCCAATATGAAATGAAACCAGATGAATATGGTTTCATTCGGAAGGGCGAGAAAAGACATCCTTAGTGATTCGAAGCTCTCATGCCTCGTAGTGATTAGACAAAATTTATCTTCAATCGTTTATAGTATTTACTAGCAAGGTTATAATAGCGTAGTCATTGTGCCGCTTGAAATGTATAAGACATGATGTTTCAATTTTTATTTTCTGAATTTATTTAATGACAAATCTTGGTAGACTTACTTATAATCAACTTATTCACAATCTAGATATTTTTTTGTGTTTATTTAGTTACTAGATTATCAAATAAAAAATTAAATATGTAAATTCTGAAATTGATAGTCCACGTACTTATGATTAGTATAATTAAGTTATACCGTATAACTATATTCTAAATTATGCGTTAGTTTTTCAGAAGTTATGTTTTGTAAAATTAAGAGAATCTAAAATTGATATATATATATATATATATCTTATATAAAGTTTATTTTATAATTTACATGCTTTTGATTTTATAGTTTCTATTTTAAAAACTCAAATTTCTTTTTCATCTTTTTCATGGCAAACAAATTCAAATTGAGATTACAATGACATATAAAACTTTTAGAAAATAAATTATTGCATAAGCAAATATATGTGCTATATAGTAAAAAGATATACAAAAAAATAATTTTAACGGTATTTTTCATAGATAACTTTTACCCGAATCATGAAATTTGTTATTTTTTTCTCCGTATTTGATCTTAATCTGATACAAAATGTGTGTGTCGGTAACATCTTTTGGCTAAACCTTTGAATTACACATCGCATAACAAAACACATTGTTTTCAAAAAGCAATTTTAAACTTTTGTTTTTTGTTATTGTCTTTCTAAAAAGGGAGAATTGCTTTATAATGTCAATTGAATTAACATTTATCCTCTTAATGTTTTCTATTTTTTGTCACTTTTTGACATAGTTAATTTTTTAAATCAGTTATGGCAGTTATAATTAAAAATAAATTGAAAACTATATTTTACAAATTTCGAAAATACCTAAAAAGAAATTAAAATATTTTCGGATATCATTTATGGAAATTTTTTTTTTTTTAAATTCGTCCTACGCTTGGTAGAATGCATGTTCTATGTTTTACGTCCACGTAGAATCTATCAGCCTGTAGAAGTTGTTTTCTATAGATCTTTATATATTCTACCGATTGGTAGATTACAAATTCTACTGGATAGACTATATTCTACATGTTGGTAGAATACATCTTCTACCTATTAGACCAGGTTCTACGTTATTGTAGAACGGGTTTTTCTACCTATTGACTTTATTCTACATTAACGTAGAATACATCTTCTACCAAAATTTGAAAAAAATCTAAGAAAATTAGTTAACTCCCAGATCTAAAAAATTTTGAAAACCTGTTTTTTTAAATTTTTCCACCTTTTTTTAATCAGTTTTTGACGTTTTTTTTTTCTTTTTTTTTGGCTCTCATCGTTTTCTTCTTCTTCTTTCACATTGATCAAGCAGATTTTTTCTAAATTTACATATCTTCTGCTTTAAACATGCTACATATCTATGTGACTTGTGGTTCATGGAAAACAGGGACAGATAAGAAGTAGATTTTTGTGGCTGATGCAGAAAAACGAGCTAGGTTAGTTGCTGTTCAATCAAATACGACTCTCGTAGAGTTAGAAACGATGGTTCTAGAAGACTATGGAGTAGTCGATCACAAAGCTGAGTTTAGTTATCTACCGAGTGATTTGATTGATACTGTAGGCTCTCCACCACTGTAAAGCAATGAAACCCCCAAATCAATTGAGAATTTGTAAACCCTAGAATCAAAATTGAATGAGAATACTGCAATAAAAGTGAAGAATACGACCAGACGGAAGAGGAGGAAGAACAAAGAAGTTTTTACTTACCGGAAATTGTTTTTTCGGTGACTGTAATTGGAAAAAAAGATGGAGACACAGTGAAGAAAAAGTATCGGAGAAGTTTTTTTTATGCTTTAGTAGAAAATCTTTTCTACTTATTTTTTAATTAATAAAACATTATTAAATTTTTTATTAATTTGTAATTAAAAGGTATAATTAGATTAAATTTAAATAAAACATTAGAAAGACAAATTTTATATAGAAAATATTATGGAGACAAATACTAATTCAATTAACATTATAAAAGCAATTTTCCCTACTAAAAAAATAAATAAATAAGCAAAAGTAGAAAAAATTCGATTAATAGAATGACATATGTCACGATCCAAAATTAACAAAATGCACGTATCACAATCTTCTGATGAATTTCATGTGTCATAGTCATGTTAAACGCCTCCAACTTTATAGAGTAAAATATAAAACTTTAATCATTTATTCGAAATGTTACCATAATTTTATTTTGGCTAAATATAAATCAAAGAAATTTTATATTGGCTAAATATAAATCAAAGAAATTTGTTGCCAAGATATCAAAGATGAGAAATAAAAATTGTATGAGCCTATCAAGTGGCAAATGACAACAAGTTTATAGTGTCTTCAAATCTAAAAAGGTTAAATATTTGTGATCCCATCAGATTGCATCCCAATTGAGGGAAATTAATTAGAGAATTTCTCAATAATAATTATTTACCTAAAGATTTTGGCATTTTTATTCTAAGAATTACATATCAATGCAAGATCCTATAAGTTAGTCCTAAACAGAGATTGTCTAACTATAAGATATGCAACTAGCACCATCTTTAGGCTCTCAAACCTCCCAACTTGCCTCTTGACAAGATGATGAAAACTTTCCTGATTAAGACAACAATTTCTCTGTTTTTGATATCAGTAACGTTTCCTCAAGATTCAGGTAAAAACATTACTGTAACGTCATCTCGCATAAACAATCTCACACATATATATATGTATCTTCTTTTCATAAGCAGAAGCGGCGACAGGGGTATGGTGTGTAGCCGATCCACAGATACCAGAAAAGGTGTTGCAAGCAGCCTTAGACTGGGCTTGTCAACAAGGCGGAGCAGACTGTAGTCTGATTCATCCTAGCCAGCCTTGCTTCTTGCCCAACACTGTCAAGGACCATGCCTCTGTTGTCTTCAATTCTTATTACCAGCATTACAAACGCAAAGGCGGTTCTTGTTACTTCCACAGCGCTGCGCTGATCACCCTAACTGACCCTAGTAAGCAACTTTATCTAAATTCTAAAGTCTAAACCCTGTTGTGTTTTAAGTTAGCTAAACTCTTTCAACGATTGAGATCTTGAACCATCACTGTCTCACTGATTATCTTGTGATTTGATGATAGGTCACGGTTCTTGCCACTTTGAGTATATCCCCTGATTCTAAGGAAAGAACCAAGATGCAATAAAAGCACTTTCTGCAGCTAATGAAACAGCATATGTACTAATGTAGGACATTGATAAGATGTAGTGTAATAAGATTATATCAATCTGGTCATTTACATATTCTCTTGAGCAACAAATTGAACAACTAAAGGAAGAAGCGTACATAATCTGGTCATTTACACTTTATTAACAATCTCTTAGGAGCAAAACCGTGAGTTCATGGTAGGACAAGCATGACCACAATTTGTCCGTACAGATGATTTGAAATTGTTTAGAAAAGTAGAGTTGCCCATGCAGCGATGAACGCAAAGCCTCCGAATGGTGCCAAGGTAGAAAACTTCCTGTCCTCACGCAGTGCTACCATGTAACACCTACAACATTCGATGAACATGAAACTTTTCACATAACCCAGAAATAGACCACTAAACCAAAAGTTAGACTGGAGTTAATCAGTAAGCAATCTGAAGTATAACTACTTCACAAAGAAACAATACTATTATTCTTTAAAATGAAAAATGAAGATCATAACGGGCAAACTATCTCATAAAAAGCATGGACTCTGACCAATCATTAGCTCAGTTGCTCAGATATAGAGAGACCTATGCTTATCAAACTGGTTCAGAGTTGGTACTGGTAGCATGTTGAAATAGATAACATCTCAAAATTTAATTCACTAGCCAAGAGGAATTGTGTCAAGTATCACTGGTGCCAGAGACTAGAATCAATCAAGTAAACATGATGCAACAACATTTAGCACAAAAGCTCTACCAACACATCCATACAAGAGTCAAATTGCAATTTTAAGAACAATGCCGAGCTGTTAATCCGATATATGGAAAAGTAACAACTTACGTGCCCGAAAATGCTACAATCCCAGCAGTCAACAAGCCACCAAACTGTGCAAGAAAAATATACGTATAGTATGAACATAGCCATCAACTAGCAAAGGACAGAAAATGGGAGAAATAGAGGAAAGAAGAGTAAGTTACAATGTTTGGATATTTGGTGCTAGGAGCAGAAACAAGAGCAGCAGTGTGTACCAAATGGTAAAGAGAAGCCGTTTGCCACACCTGAAAGATCATAACTTTTTTTTAAGACAAATCCAAACTAAATCCAACAAAAAATGAAAAACTAAGATAGCTAATTGTAAAAAAGCAACCAAATTCAGAATCTTTGACCTGTTTGTAAGAAGGGTTCTCTGGCTTAAAGACATGAGCCCCATAAGTTCCCAAACCAAGAGCAGCCATACCTACAGTAGACATAATCAGTCTCTACCTTCCTTACAACAATCAAATCAGAGACCTTTCTTCTTACCCGAAACGGCGGCGACTTTGTGCCATATCCTAGGATCCATCGATCGTCTTCCTCTGAACTCTCTTAGGTTGCTTCTGACACAGTTTCCCATTTGACCAGGAATGTCGAGAGATCGGGTCTTATTTGGTTTACCCTCACAAAAACGGCGTCGTATTAAGCGTTGCTGATTTTCTTCTTTACAGCCACTAAAAGATTCTTTCCTTTTGCTTCAACTGCGAGCTTTGTGTAGATCTCTCTATATCTCCCTTGCAGAATCAAATCTGTTGTTAATCAATTCTCAGCCTACACGAGGTTGGTATCTTCCCCAAAAAAATCTAATCTCTGTTTTCTTTTTTGGAGGATTCTAATGCTCTTCTTCTTCTTCTACTCCACAAAGCTTGAAACTTTTTCTTCTTTGCTTACAATTTTGAAATTTTTGACGCAGTTAAAAAATTGTATATGATTGCTCTCTCCCTCTATCTAGAGGTTTACAATACGCTCTGAAGAGAAGTTGTCAAAATAATATTGCTTAGAGGATTGTATGGTTGGAAAATTTATTGGAACTCTTATGTCTTGTTTATTGTGGAAGTAGTACATAGTTGATGTAAATTCATAGACAAGGGTTGATTTCAGTGATACCAGAGTCCCTGTTAGAGTTTTGATCTCCATGTATATGATTTTTTTTCAATTTGACATCAGTTTCTACATGTGTGCAGCTTTATATGATTGTCTCGTGCTTGTAGGGATATAGCTTTGTTCTGTGTATATGCTCAAAGTTTCCCATTGTGCAAGCTCAAGAGTTAAAACATATCTTCTAAACATGTCTTACTTACCTTCTTGTTAAGGTTTGGAGAACAAGCTGCATCCCCAAGAGTATATAGAAGGAAGCAGCTTATCTTGTCGAGGTTTTTCATGAACTTTTTAGTAGATCACCATCCACTATCAGTGTCTCCATCTATCAACACCGTGCTCCTAATAATACCAATAACTTTCCTTTGAGTTACTCGCTTGTGATGGACGATGTAAGAGGCTTCAGACACAATCTGAGAGAAGTCGAAACGTTAATGTTGCAGCCACTGCCAGAGATATCTGAGAGTATCAATGATGTTATCTGTCATGAATTCTCCATGTGGCCAGAAGATGCAGATGATTTGTTGTTGATAGTGGAGGCAATCTCAAGGGGAGACTTAAAATGGGTACTGGCTGCTTGTGCTAAAGCTGTTTCTGAGGATAACCTTTTAATGGCACGATGGTGTATGGGTGAGTTACGCGGCATGGTTTCAATATCTGGTGAGCCGATCCAGAGACTGGGAGCTTACATGTTAGAAGGGCTTGTGGCTAGGCTTTCTGCCACTGGTAGTTCGATATACAAGTCTCTCCAATCCAGAGAACCGGATAGTTATGAGTTCTTATCTTATGTGTACGTTCTGCATGAGGTTTGCCCGTATTTCAAGTTTGGGTACATGTCAGCGAATGGAGCTATTGCAGAAGCAATGAAAGAAGAGGAGAAAATTCACATTATTGATTTCCAGATTGGACAAGGGAGCCAGTGGGTTGCACTTATCCAGGCTTTTGCAGCTAGGCCTGGTGGGGCTCCAAATATTCGAATTACCGGTATTGGTGATGGATCCAACTTGGTTACAGTCAGAAAAAGACTAGATAAACTCGCCAAGAAGTTTCATGTCCCATTCAAGTTTAATGCGGTTTCAAGGTCGAGTTGGGAAGTGGAAGTGGAAAATCTTGATGTCCGAAAAGGCGAAGCACTTGGAATAAACTTTGCTTACATGCTGCACCACTTGCCAGATGAGAGTGTAAGCATGGAAAACCACAGGGACCGGTTGCTGAGGATGGTGAAGAGTTTATCACCTAAAGTGGTCACTCTCGTGGAACAAGAATGTAACACAAACACTTCCCCTTTCCTTCCTAGGTTCCTTGAGACATTAAGTTATTACACGGCAATGTTTGAATCTATCGACGTGATGCTCCCGAGAAATCACAAGGAAAGGATCAACGTCGAGCAGCACTGCCTGGCAAGGGATGTTGTCAACATCATAGCTTGTGAAGGAGCTGAGAGGATCGAAAGGCACGAGCTTCTCGGGAAATGGAAGTCAAGGTTTTCCATGGCAGGTTTTGAGCCATACCCATTGAGCTCAATCGTTTCAGCCACCATTAGAGCCCTCTTGAAAGATTACAGCAACGGGTATGAGATTGAAGAAAGAGATGGTGCTCTATACCTTGGTTGGATGGACAGAATCTTGGTCTCATCTTGTGCATGGAAGTAAAAGAATTACTGTTCTCCAATAATGTAATGCAGAAGACAGAATATTGGAAGTAATAGATGGTCTTGTTTCAATACCATTAATAAGGTTGATCAAATCATATACATCCCCAAACTACAACTATTACACAGGCTCCATCAACAAAGAAAGACTCTTGTTGTGTTACCATCACTGCCTGTATCTCTTATTTGAACCAAATGGAAATGGCTAATACGCAGGCGACATAAAGGTGGTAAGCATACTATTCCATTAAACACTATTCTAATCTGGGTCCGCCTGAACAGCAAACTGTACAGCCTATAATCATATCGCCTGTACTAATCTATGTTAAACAGCCGTATATAATTCACCACAGGATACACGTCAAATGCTTAGCTTTGACCAGACTCTGCTTTGGGTTTCTGTTCCTGACTCTCCAGAGTTCTTGCCGTATTCTCATGACAAGCAGTGGTTTTATCATCTGACTTTTTGTGATTGGCTGCTTGGTCTTTAGTTACCTCTGATCTTTCTTTTATTTGCTCCTTTGGCTTTGCATCCAAGACTGGACCTTGATCAAGACTTTTCTCAAAGCCATTAGTCTTAGCTTTCTTTCTTGAGTAATCCACAACGTGCTGGTCTTTTGTAATGGTTTGAAGAGCTGAGCTCTGTGGAGTTTTGTTTGCTTCTGTGTCTTTAGGACTCAGTTCCTTGTCATCAACTTCAGAGTCCAGCGTATTATTATGAGTAACAATCCTTCCTGGTGGCATATCATGGTCGTGTTTTCCCTCGTACGTCGTTATAAGCAACTTTGTGTCATGAGATGACCTCTCTACGTGTTTCTTGACCGGGCATCCAGAGCTTGAACATCGATAGTAGCTCCTAACGCAGAATCATCAAACAGAGAAACAACGTGAGCAGAGAAAAATGTAATTCTAAGTTTTAAAATAATCTATCACTACCTTGGATATGGGCTCCCTTTCACTGATTTCTGACCATATTTACGCCATCGGTACCCATCATTCACAATATCAAACAGAGTCTGAGTCTGAACCACATTACGTGATTCATTGTTTGACCTCTCCATTGGAATGTGCTCCATGTTCCCTCCTTTCTTCCTGATTTAGTGACATAAACATAAGAAGCAAAACAAAGAACACCATTGGTGAAATATTGAATCATCAGTACCTTCTCTTTGAGGCAGGACTAGTACTATCCTTGTGAACGTTGTCACCCTTTGTCCTGCTAGTTTGTAATACTTTCACATCATCGGCCGATGGAATAACAGAAACATGCAAGCCTCCATGGATCTTAGGTGGTTCGGTTTGGCTTTGGCTATATGTCTGAACACTGGGTCCAGATGATTTCTCTACAAACATGATACCATAAGCACCAAAGGAAGTTTCATATAAATAGAAATATGTGATCACTATTCTTACCTTTACTGGCAGTTGTGATGACATCGCTTCGTTTATCTTGATTGATAGGGACAGCACCGCCAAGAGGCTTTGGATGATCATGCTCGCCAAAGTAAACAGTGTCCACGATTTGTCCACCTGGAGACCGTTCCAATTGCTTCTTGGCTTTGCAGTTTGGGTGCGTGCACCTGTAATAGCTCCTCACAAATTCATTCCCTTTAACGAGTTTCTGTCCATATTTCCTCCAGTTGTATCCGTCTTCCATAACTTTCTCCCTGATAAAAGGGCTACTCCCTTCTGAACCAGACTGCAAAGACAAGACGGTACTACTCTCAGGAATCTTTGGCGCTTTCTCCGAAGCAACATCTACTTCTGACTGTGAAGCCGCGGTAGTATCAGGAACAAGTTCTAGTAGCTTCTTGCAGTCTGTAGATTCTGGAATCTCGCCTGAAGATTGCTCAGTTTCAGAGCTTTCAACAACGGTTTCAGTTGTAGAAACCGGTGCAGCCTCCATTTTATCAGTGGCAACAACATCAGCTGGTTTAGTCTCGCTTGAATTGGCTAGTTCCATGTCACTAGCCAAAACTTTTCCCACCTCAGCCATAGAGACCAACACAACGTCTAACCAGCAGCAGAAGAAGAAATTCAACTGAATTCAAAAACGGAAAAAATCGAGCTTTACGCCAAAGTCCATTTAGTTTCCAAATCCTGAAAGGAGCAACATGAGCAATCAAATAAACAAAAAAAAATTTTCAGTGTATCAAAATTCCAAACTCCAGACGAACAACAATAGGAACAAAATGTTGCATAACAATCATTTAAGAGGATCTTTTGCGAGCATAATATGTAAACTAGGAGGATTATTACGTTCTTCTTAAAGCCTTAAAATTGATTGTCCTATGGTCGAACAACACAAGATTTAGACCCAACTACATTAACCAAACTGGTCTTGAGAGTCAAACCCTTAAAGTCTACTTTTGGAGACTCATGTATTTACTAAACAAACAACAAATGATTTATCAAGCTTGTATCCCTTATGATCTACGTTTTATCTCACATAGTGTCTCTAATTGAGAATTATCGATTTTCTTTAAGCATCAAAAATAAGTAGAGAAAAAAAATTACACATCAAACAATCGAGTCCAGATTCTAATAGTAGCAAACATGATGAACAAGAACTACCCAGTGTGAAATAAATAAATAAAAATACCTTTTTCCCCCAAAAAGCATTTGCTAATTAATCCTAAACGAAATTATAAAAAGTCGGCAAATTAGTTCCATTTTTTACGGATTCAGAGACGACCCAGCGTCTAGATACGCACGGAAATCAAGCATTTAATTTAATTTAATTACTAAGCTCTGAATTAAAGAAAATTTAAAACAATTTAAAAGAAAAAAAAATGAGAATTTTACCTAGCGCAAGCATCGAGAAGATCATCATCCGACCAAATTACACAAAACTGAAAAAGCTTCTCAAGTACAAAAATCCGTAGATCGGAATCGAACAACCTCAAAATTGGGTTAACACTAAAATCAACAGAGAGAGAGAGAAGAAAGAAGACAAAAGGTCGTGTCCAAAAATCAGATTGGTTGGACTTAGAAGGACTAAGGAGGAAGAAGAAGAAAAAGAAGCTTAGAAAAAAGAGAGAGAAGAGAGAAGTGGGAAGGAGAGGATATTATTTGGTGCGACGCGGCGTATGGAAGCAAATGTGGACGGAGTTATATCTGCGGTTGATGATACGTTGAGATGACATATATTCTCCCACTCACAAACGGCAAGCCGACAAATAAAGTATGGACTGGGACCCACAGAACCCAGTGCATAATAATCTCGTGTGTCTCATTTAGTGTTGTTTTTGCCTGGTGGCCTCATGAGAGGGTTACAAAGTTGGAGTATGTAAAAAATATAGGGATCGGATTTTGTAAATATATGTATATCCTAGGAAAGTAAAGTATTTAGTAGGTTTGATTGTTTTAAAAGTGAGATAATTTAGAGCAAATCTCATTCAAATTAATTTAATTATAATATATCCAACATCTTGACTATTTTACTAAATTAGTTTCTAAAAATTTTTTAGTTGTAAACACGCAAACTTCTTAAAAAGCAAAATATTTCAACACGTTTTAATTTTTTTTTTAAAAACATCGATAAAATATACTAATTTTCAAAAGTTTTCGATTCTAATATAAGAAACGGACACTTTTGATAAAGTAAAATATTTTAATATATTTCTATTTAAATTTTTAATTTTAATGTATCAATGAATACAAATTTCTATGTTCGTTCTACTTAAATGTTAAACTGTTTTAAATATAGCAGATGTTAGATATAAATATGAGTATAGAAATTTATAACTGTAAAGATTGTAATTTTAAACGTTAATGAATAATTTATACTATCAAATATAACCGTTGGAAACGGGTTTGTTTGTATTTAAATGGTTCCAAATAGTACAAAACAATGTATGTGATTGTAATCAAACACCAACAACTACAAACTTCCATAAATACTGTATAATCAATACCTAAAATGTTAAACCTTTAGCAAAAACTTGTAACAAGAAGCATCGTTTTAATTGGTACTTGTAAATAGATATATTGTAGTTGAGTTAAATTTTTACTTGGAGGTAACTACTTCAACTCTCTAATGCTACTGTATCGTTTTTCTTTTTTTGGGAATTTTCCTTTATTGGTAAATAGGTCACGAAGTGGAAGTATATAAAAAATAGAGGGATCGTATTTTTGCAAATATAAATCAAACCACATACTCCAAGGAACAAAGACAAAGCATCGATTCTTACACAACTGGGCCTCCTTTTGGCTCTACTTTTATTTAGGACTTTAAGTGCTTTTGTAAGAAAAATTATTAAAAGAGCAGTTTTGAAGGTCAATTTGTTGAACCACCATCGATCCAAATATTTTCGAATTTAGGTAACAAGGTTAATTATTCAAATATTCACAAAAGAACAAATGGGAATTTTTAATGACTGCTACGAGACTCTTAACAAAATTAGATGAGAAGAAAGAGAGAAGTGGAAACAAAAACTAGCATTTTGTTTCTCTTTAACTGCATATTTTTCGGCTATGGTGAAACTTTCCGAGGTCTCTAGCATTACCGTCTATGGTTATTACCATTACTTAAAAAACTGCTGTTTCATACTTCCTCTACCAATCTTCTGTAACCTCTTCTACAGAAAAATTTAACATACTTTTTTAAAAAAGACAGTTCTTTAGAAAATGCGGAACAAGAAGTTAAACGAAAATAAACAAAAAACAAGAAACAGAACAACTAACTTAACTTCCTCTGTAGCCATTCTTTATCAAGCCACCAAAGTGTTCTCTTCTCTTCTTTCAAGAGAAGACGACCCTGCAACATTTTCTCCCATCTCTGTTCCATCTTCTTCCTCTCTGTTTCCGTTTTCTTCACCATTCACATCACTAATCCCCTTTGCTGCATCATCGTCCTCAACCTTCGAATCTTTATCTTCTTTCTTCACATCATAGCCCTCATGAAGTTCCTCCTCGAGGCCCTCCCCACAGTTCATGACATTGCTTGTACCAATCTCCTCGTGTAGCTTATTGTCCTCAACACACTTGTTTGTATCCTCCAGCAAAATGTCATGAGCTTCTGGCAATTGAGGGATGTTGTCACAAAGCTCCATGTCATCAACTTTGGTGACAGGATCGTACAAGTGTGTTCCATCGTACACCGAATTTGCATGGCTAAGTGGTAAATGCAACTGACCAACCTCAACCACAGGACCAAACTGAGATTCATCTTCACTACCTCCATAGTCTTCCATTGGATCAATACCTTTCCTTCTCTTTCCCATCCCTTTCCTTCTCACCCTCTCTTTACCTCGCATCCTTTTCCCAAGTTCTATCTGCTGCTGGTTTTCTGTTCCAGCAGACGTTACTCCGACTTGATCTCTCAAGCAATCTTGCGCAAGGCTGATAATTCTTGAAACCATGTTGCCTCTTTCAAGATCCAAATCATGTGTTGGAAAATTCTCAGCCAATTCCAATATATCCCTCACATTTAAAATCTGCAATAACAAAAAGGGTAAAGTATAAAGATCATACCTAAAAAAAAACTATCAAGAAACTAGTTCTTAGCTATTACCGTTCTTTGAAACTCGCTTGAGAGAGAGATGGGCCTTCCTACAATCTTGCGTGTGATTCCTGAATACCACCTCATGTAGTCTGCTTCATCAACACCAAGAACATCATCAGGAACAATGTTGTCCCACCGCATTTCCCACTCGCTTAGCTCTGCTTCCATTTTAACAGACAGGTCAACACCTCCATCAACTCCCCTGGACTTTCTTACCCACCTTTGCACATCTTCAGGGATGCCTTGAAACAAGCCAAACTGTTTGAGACAGCGATCAGGCAGGTGTCTCTCCGCCTTGTCAAAAGATATCAGCATTGTTCTCGATCTACCCAACTGCAGAGAGTTTCTAATATGTTCGGGTATGTATCTACCATCCATATTCTCATACGGCAGCCATTCCACCTAAATGTCAAGGAAAGTATATCAACAACGACTTGAGATCAAAAGAAGTATACACAAAGAAGAGTAGCTAGTGAATATGAAAGATCAACAAGCTTACATCACATGGCTTCAAGACGTCCAACGCTTTCCGGTAAAAGACCACATCACGGTTTGCTGTTGGACCATTCTGCTTCCCCTTCCACCTAAGCACAAATGGGAAATGATCATGGACTGGTTCACGGTTCAGCTTTGGCCGGCCAATGTTTAAGTGATAGTAACTCCAACACTACACAAGACAAAAGAAAAAGGAAATAAGATTACTAACTGCTGAAACTTATATAAAAATTCCTTATGCATTAACAATATTGGGAACAAAAAGCACCTGTAACAGCGTCAAGCAACCACATATAGTGCTTTGGGATTTAACAGAAGCATTCCCAAGTGCTCTATACAAGAAAGCCAAAGCAGCTGCTCCCCACGCAAATGTTCCAGCATCATCAAAATCCTCAAACAGCGGAAGATACATAACAGGCACCTTGTTTCCAGTTGTAGTAGAGAAGATGGTACTCCCTACTAAGTACAAGAGGTAAGCCCGTGTATAGCGCTCAACTTTTTCAAAAGACGCGTCTTCACGACAGTCAGAGAAATTTTCTTTCAACCAGCTAAGCTTCACCATCCCACCACTAGCGTAATTGGAATCCGGAGCCAAACCTAAGTACCTCTCACACACCGCAGAACAAGTCGTATAAGTTACTCCAATCACAGGTTTACCATCAATCCCCAACCCTAATAACAGGGCAATGTCCTCAAGAGTCACAGTCATTTCCCCAATAGTGAAGTGGAAGGTGTTGGTCTCTCTCCTCCATCGCTCGACCAACGCAGAGATCAGAGGGTTATCGAGACTAATGGCAGGGATACGTCTCAAATACCCGAAACCGGCTCTCTCCACCAATTCAATCTGCTTTGAACTAAGCTTCCACTCACTCAACTTCGACGTGTGCTCATGACACCTCAAAGCCCCTCGCTCCTAACAGTTTGTTTCCAAAAAATTAGTCTATAACCAGCAAAGAGAAAATAAGAACAACAATACTAAACAAAACAATATCAATGACTTCAATTCCTTGGAGCAAAAACCATCCAATCTTAGTCACAGTTTCCATTAAAGCGGTTGTAAGTGATCTTATCAAGATACATAGAGAGGATGTTAAACCTGGCCATCCCAAACAGCAGAGGAGACATGTTTCTCTTGATCATAAAGTACAATGTCCTTAAGTGGACCAGGATTCGTTAATGCGTCCATCAGTGTCAACACTCACCTGATTCAAACAAAATACAAAATGAAAATCCAAACTTTACCAGGAGAAAAAACTAAGATTTCGATGAAAAAAACATATGCCCAGATGAATTTTCCCATTGAAATGCAGCAAATTAATTGGTCCCATTCAACAAATCGAAAACCCTAAAAAAAATTCCAATCTTTCAGCCTCATTAAAACAAGCAAAAGTTGTGAAGCGCCTCGAATTCCATTGTATATACATATAAAAGAGAAAACTTTGATTTTGATTATGATTAAAGAAACGCAAAGGAGAGAAACGATATGAGGAATCAGAGATAAACGTTAAGGACGAAACGACGCCGGAGAAGGGAGACTAACCAGAAAAACAGCGCGGAACAGAGACGACGAACTTTGAATGATTCAAAACGACGACGGACTAAGATTAAAAAAAAAGAGCGGAGACAAGAAAAAGCACTTTGAAGAAGAGATCACAGGGAATAGTAATACGAACGGTGCGAAGAAATAAAAACCCTCAAAACGACGGCTTCCTCGTCGTAAGGGATAATGCCCCTCTTCTCTCTTTTTCCTTTTTTTTTTTTTTTTCACAGTTTTAATTTTCCCCTTTTAAGAGAACAAAACAAAAAATCTAGCGTTGACAAATGGGCCACACTATCGGCCCAGAAATTAAAACTGAAATGCTTTACTGAACTGATTCGTCACGGGTCAGTTAGGACCTGAGTAGTTGCAACGCAGTAGTTACAGTTGTAAATGCAGAAATTTACGGAAGTAAACGATTATGGTTTTAAATGTTATTAAAAATTTTGTACGATTGGTTTAATTACTAAAAACGAATCCGTTTACGGAACATTTTTGATTGATTAACCAGGGAATAGCAAAAATATAACGTTACCAATATAAACATAATATATAATTATAAAAAATACAAAAAACTATATTATTATGCTAAATATCAAAATTACTAATTTAAATTAATTAATAAAAAATACAAATAAATACTGATTAATTATTCAAAAATTAATAATATATATATGAGGCAATATGGTTAGGGTTTATATATATATATATATATATGTGACGATACAATAGAGTTAGAGTTTCATAAATTTTCCGAACGTGATTATTTTTTCTATTGTGGTTTTTTTTATCAACCTGCTACCGTCCGCAACCGAAAATACTTGCGGGAAACAGCTTTTGGATTTCAGTGATACAAAACGATACACAGCGGTATGAAACGATGTGATTGTTATAAAACGCCACTAACTGCTACCAACTGCAAATATAGCATTTGCGGGTGATAGCGAATGAACCAATCAACACCTTAATATCTAAAATTCTACTACACCTTCTAATCTCACAAAATCATATATTGCAAAATAAACAAAGAGATAAAAAAAAAATGTGATACTGACTTATTTGAAGGTAATATAATTCTTTTAGTTATACCTTAGATTGCAGCGAGTCATAAGCAGATACACGGAAACAGTGATTCTAAAAATTTAAGAAGCGGATACCTGTTGAAATAGTTATATATACGTGCAAAATAAAAACTAAACATCACATGATATAAAAGAAAAAATTTTAATAAAAAGTGAAACTACACAAATACAATGCATAAATTTTTTATAACTTAGCTAATAATAAAGATTCAAAGTCAAAATTTATATCAATTTTATTAAAACAATTTCCTTCTAACTCTATATCGTTGATAGAAATATTATCGAGTCAAATCTTCTTGAAATAATCTCATTTATTGAATGAAATTATTTATTTCCAGCATTATATGTATTATTCGGACTATCTTTGTAAGCAAAACGTTTTTTGGTAAACAATAAAAATTATAACGCACAAATGTCAAACTTACTAAATTTATTTTTGATAAAAAATGGAAATAAATTTAGTGATTTAAACATTTGTGTGTACTTTACTGTTTATCAATAAATTTTTATTTCAAGATAAAAATGAAACGAGTTTCTAAAATATTTTAAAGATATTGATTTTTATTTTAATTCTAATTGTGAAACATGAAATCGTTATCTAATAGAGTTTCTATGTAATCTATGTTAAACCTGATACCGAATCAACTTAAGGAAATTGGTTATCCATTTTTATTCTCTCTATTACTCACCAAATTAATGGTTTGACTTTGACCATATCACTTACTAAATTTTCACATCATACCTACATATATGCGATTGCAAACTGATATATTTGGTGAGTAGAGAGAATACAAATGGTAAATGGTATGGTTTGACCATACCAGTTCATCCAACTGAAAATGCACATGCAATTGCAAAGAACTTTAAAGATTGTAAGAATTCAGATTAAAAGAATAATTCTCTTTTATTAGCTTTAGAAAACTGACTCAAAAACTAAAACTCTCACAAGTCTCATAAGTTATGCAACACTTTTGCATCTCTTTATATATAAACTTTAGAGATAACAAACCTCCTCTTATCAAACACTCTGGACAAGATGACTCTGTTTCTTGTTCGCTATTGTTTTCAGATCACTCTCACCTGGGTTTGGAAAGAACGTAATAGTAGAAGACATGGTGATACTTCGAATCCACCACGGAGTATTATCAAGACACTAGATCAAATGATGAGGAACCGGCTGAGCTCATTACGTATTGCAGGAGATCGCACCTATGAAGAGGGTTTAGAGAGATGGTTTGATACCCGGCACTAAAAATAGCTTCTGAAGTTCTTAATGCTCTGTTTTTTAGCATAGCGACAATAATTCTTGCTTTTCTTTCTTAACAAAAAGATTATGTAAAGAATACAGTTTTTTTTTTGGAATATAATTTAACATTTTTTCAAAAAAAAAAAAAACTTTAGAGATAAATCCTTAACCTAATGGATTTAGTACTTTTCTTTTTTTCTTAGATAACTCCTAAGTATTTCCTAATTACTCTAGAAAATATTCAACTCTAGGAAATATTCAACTCTAAAAACTTCCTAAATAAGTTAACTTAAAGCTTAATGTCAACATTCTTTCCTTTAAGCTTGAAGTTAATTTTTGAACACATCTTCGACTCCAATAAGATCTCTCATCTCTTTGAACTTTATCCTTCCCAATGCCTTTGTCAAGATATCAGCTTTTTGTTCATTGCCTGGAATATGTTCTACCTCTATCTGTCCATTCTCAACACATTCCCTAATGAAATGATACCTTGTGTGAATATGCTTGCTGCGTCCATGAAACATTGGATTTCTTGTGATGGCAATAGCAGACTGACTGTCAATCCTGATGAGGACTTTCTCACTTGACGAACCTGTAATCTCACCAAGCAAATCTTGTAGCCAAATTGCTTGTCTTGCTGCCTCTGTTCCAGCCATGAATTCGGCCTCACAAGGAGATAGTGCTACGGTCTCTTGCTTCTGAGAACACCAGGTGATCGGACTTTCACCAAGATAGAAAATGTGACATGTTGTACTCTTGCCATCATCAGGGTCTACATTGTGTGAACTATCGCTGTATCCGATCAACTTTGGTATCTTCAGCTTCGATCGTTTGAAGGTGAGTCCAAACGAAACAGTACCTTGTAAATACCTCAAACAGTACTTCATTGCTGCTCCATGAGACTCTTTCGGATGCTGCATGTATCGGCTGAGTACGCCTACACAGTAGCAAAAGTCTGGTCTCGTGTGTAGTAGATAGCGAAGGCATCCTACATTCTTTCTAAAACTTGTTGCATCGACATCCTTTTCTTCTTCAGCTTTAGACAACTTTAATCCTGGATCCATTGGTATATGAGCCAAATTGCAGCTTCTCATTCCTGCTTTTTTTAATATCTTCTGAGCATATCGCCTTTGGTTTAAAGTGATGCCTCCTTCGTGCTGATATACCTCGATCCAAAGGTAATAAGTCAATTTACCGAGATTGCTCATTTCAAATTTTGAGGCCATTTCTTTCTTGAACCCATGAATGACTTTTGTGTCTGTTCCTGTGATAAACAAGTCGTCCACGTATAATGCAAGTAGAATAAGGCTTCCGCTTATTACTCTTCGATAAACCGATGGTTCTTTTGAACATTTCTTAAATTGAAGTTCTTTGAGAATCTGATTAAGCTTGTATTCCAATCTCTGGGTGCTTGCCTTAAGCCGTACAGTGTTTGGTTCAACTTGTAAACTTTGTCTTCGCATCCTTTCACTTCAAATCCCTCGGTTGAGTGACATAAACAGTTTCCTTCAACTCGCTATGAAGAAACCTCGTTTTGACATGAAGATGGTGAATCTCCCAACCATTTGATGCTGCAAGATTGATAAGCAGACAAATTGTCTCGATCCTGGCCACTGGTGCAAAAACCTCGTCAAAGTCTACTCTATAACGTTGTACGTATCCCTTTGCTACTAGTCGAGTTTTGTGCTTATTAATACTTCCATCTGAGTTTTTTCTTGAGCTTAAAACCCCACTTTAACCCAGTTGGTTTTGCTCCTTTAGGAAGATCCACCAGATTTCATGTTTGATTTTTAGTAATCGAGTGAATCTCATCCTCACATGCACATGTCCATTCTTGAGATTCCTTTACTTCCTCAAAATTTCTTGGTTCGTTATTCAAACAGAGCAGCAACTGTTCTCCTTCTTCGTCTGCAAGTAATATGAAATCCTCTAGATGTTTCGGTGTAACTCTTGGTCTTGTGGATCTTCTCAATACTGGTTGATCTTGATCATAGGTTTGATCACTTCCTCCTTCTTCTTCGTGCGATACCACAGCTTCATCTTCCACACCCTCATCGATTTCGTTACTTGAGTTTTTGTGATGCTCTGTTTCTTCACTTTCATGCTCTATTTCATAGATCCCATGATTTCCGAACTCTCCAAGCTCGATCCTGAAGCTTCCTGCTCCACTTTTCTCCAAGTTTCGTTGATCCCAGTTCCACTTCATTGTTTCGTCGAAGATAACATCCCGACTAACTATGACTTTTTGATTTTGTGGATCAAATATTCGATACGCCTTCGACCCTGGTTCTGTGTCGAGATGTACCAGCTTACGCGACCTATCGTCGAGCTTTCTCAGATGTGGTATCTCCACTTTTGCATATCCGATACAACCGAAAGTTGTGAGGTGGCTGAGATTAGGCCTTTACCCATAAAACACTTCATATGGAGTAACATCCTTTAGTACTCTTGTGGCTATGCGGTTTAGGAGATATGTTGAGTGCCTCACCGCCTCTCCCCATAAATAATTAGGGACCATCATGTGTTTTAACATGCTTCTTGTCATCTCCATGAGGGTCCTGTTGCGTCTCTCAACAACGCTATTTTGTTGAGGCGTATATGGTGCGGTAAGGTGTCTCTTAATGCCTGATTCATCGCAAAAAGAGTTAAATTTTTGTGACACGAACTCTCCTCCTCTATCTTTACGGAAGGTTTGAATGCTCGTCCCTGCGTCTTGCTCCACCATACCTTTAAACCTTCTAAATTTGGGTAAAGGCATCACTCTTATTCTTTAGCAAAATTTTCCACATGTACTTTGAGTAGTCGTCAATGAGAACAAACACGTATTTGTTTCCAGCGGCTGTATGTGGTGTTATAGGACCACAAAGA